TTTTGGCAAGTAGACACCCAAATATTTTAAACATTCTGTAGTTATTTTATTTTATTTTATTTTTTATTTTTTGGTGAGGCAATTGGGGTTAAGTGACTTACCCAGGGTCACACAGCTAAGTAAGTGCCAAGTGTCTGAGGCTGGATTTGAACTCAGGTCCTCCTGTCTGTAGTTATATTAAATGGACTTTCTTTTCTTTTTTAATCTCTTCATGATGGATTTTGTTGATAATGTATGGAAATGCAGATGATTGGTGCCAGTTTACATCCTGCTACTTCACCCCAAACAGTTCCTTGATTATCATTTCTAGTTTCAATCAATCAATCACCAAATGGGGGAGACAATATGCAAACAGATATATACAAAGCAAGCTACGTACAGGATAAAATAGGAAGTAATTATCAGAGGAAAGGCATGAGAAGTAAGAGTGGTTTAAGAAGGCTTCCAGTAAAAGAAGGGATTTTAGTTGGACAGCCGAGGAAGCCAGGTACCACCTCGGTGGTCAGGGCAGAGGAGGGAGAGAGTCCCAGTCATGGGAAATGGTCAGAGAGAAGACCCAGAGCTGAGGGATGGAGGGACTTGTTTGTGGAACGTCCTGGAGATTGGGTCGCTGGATTGAAGAATATATGTTGGGGAGTGAAGTGTAAGGAAACTGGAAAGAGAGGAGGAGCTGGGTTAGGAAGACCAAACAGGACGTTTTGGATTTGCTCCTGGAGGCAATAAGAAGCCACTGGTGTTTATGACAACGGGGGTGTGTGTGCGTGTGTGTGTGTGTGTGTGTGTGTGTGTGTGTGTGACAGTCAGATTTGGGCTTTAGGAAAATCACTTTAATGGCTGAATGGAGGATGGACCAGAGGCACAGGAGACCCCCCAGCAGCTATCCCTATAGTCCAGGCGTGAAACAACGGGGGCCTGCATGGAGTGGAGGTGAGTGTCAGAGCAGAGAAGGGGGTTAAACCCTACGTCCAGCTCCATAAAGGCTACACTTCTAAACTCTAAGGACAGTCACATGCAAATGGGCTGATGGATCAGAACCTTCTGCAGCCATGGGAGCTCAGCAGTCTCTTCCAATGGTTCATCTGAGGGGCAGTTTTCTCTTTGGTCCTCAGGATGGTTTGTGTCTCTCCTTTAAGCATTAGAGAGGCCATGTTTTTTCCCAAGTGGATTTTATCAGCTTTTCTTACACAAATGTTCTTTCCCCACCCATTTTGGCAACAAAAGCAGCAGCATCTTGTATTTAACAAGTTAATGGAGGTGGGGAGGCCATAGCAGCTGAATGAATCAGGAGAGGTTTCATGTAGAAGGTGAAGGGGCGAAGAGCCCTTCATTCAGTTCGTCATTCAATTAGCATTTTAGTAAGTGCTTCTGTGTGCTAGGCACTGCATGTACAAAGCACTGGGGGTACACATGCAACCCCTGTCCCCTAGCCCGTCGGTATGTGACTCTCCTCATTGGTGGAGATGAATGCCCTTCCCTCAGTGAGTTGGACAGAGGTGAGAATGCTCCAACCTTTCATGAGTCTCATTCATAGGACTAGTCCCTCTTGGGGACTTCAGGCAGGCATCTTTCTTTGGGATTAGCCAAGCTTCCAGTCTTCCTTGAACATGAGGTCACTTTGGATGCTTCCAGAGAGAAGGTGGAGGAGGCCAACCCCACTTCAGGCTGCTGAAGGAAAAGACTCTGGGAAGACATGGGAGAAGCTGGTGGTCTCCATCAGGGCCCTATCCTCAGTTGGCTACTCTAGAGACTTTGGAGAGTTTCCTCTTGGGGGAGACCCAGAACCTTCTCTCTTAGATGAGCTGAGCTGCCTCACACTCAGTGGGATGGCGCTTTCACTCGGTCTTGTCTGGTCCATATTCTCCTGTGCAGAACATCCCTGATTTCTGTTTTGCTACAATTTGGTTAAATATGTTTCTTTACTATTTGCTATGTAAGTGCATTGTGGAACAGGTCTTAATTAGGTGGGGAAGAGGTCAAGCCTTGGATATAGAGCTTGGCATCTCCTTCTCCCCAAAATCACAAGGTCATCAAAAGTTAGCTGGAATCTGATCATATCCCTAGATGAACAATATTTAAGGGAGCAGACGGGCATAACTTCTAGCCTAGTACCCCCTCTTCCCCCCCACCTCCTAAGTCTCCCTTGGAAGAAGGTGGGAGGGAGAAGCTAGAGATGTCTATTCTGCCTCCCATTGAGCCACACATACACATGGAATCCTCACTACACATGTGGGGCCCGCAAAGAAAGGCAAAGGACAATCCTTCTGCCAAGTAGCTCACAATCTGGTATGGAAAACAACCATGTACAAACAAGCTATAGACCGGACAAAAGGAAGGTATTCGCCAGAGACAAGGCACTGGTATTACAAGGGAGTTAGGAAAGGCTACTTGCAGATTTTATTTGGGACCTGAAAGAAGGAAGGGTAGCCAAGAGACGGTGATGAGGAAAGAGAGCATTATAGACTTGGGGGACAGCCAGAGAAGGTGCCCAATCTTGTGCAAGGAAGAGCCGGGAGGGAGGCCAGTACCCTTGGATGGAAGAGTAGGAGTGGGGAGCAAGGCGTAAGAAGATAGAATGGTGGGAGGGGGCAGGTGATGAAGGGTCTTAAAACCTCATCACCCTGTTAAGATCTCATCTGATTGGTGGGTGAAGCCATGAACCTCCAAACCTCCGCTTAGGAGGGGGCCCGGGTCAATACATCCCCTCATTTCTCACCTGGCTTTACTACTTTGGGACTTCTCTGATTTCCCACCATTCCCTGCATAAGATGCCTTTTCTGCCCCCACCCCTGCCCCTACTTTTCACCTTCCTCTTGTGTGTTGTCTCCTTCGTTAGACTGTAAGCTTCCTGAGGTCAGGGACTATCTTTCTTTTTTCATAGTAGTATCCCTAGTGTTTAGCACAGTGCCTGGCACATGTCAGGCATATAATAAATGCTTATTGACTGACTGAATTAAAAGCTGACCAGAGGATTTGATATTTGATCCTGGAGGCAACAGAGAGGCATTGTAAAGGCACCCAGATGGCAGCTGGTGTCTATGAGGACCTGGGAAAAGCCAGTTTGACTGGACCAAAGAAGAAGGTATACTAAGCCTGGAAAGGGAGGCTGCCCTCATTTTGCTGCGTTCTCCCCAATGTCCCTCTCCAGTAATTAGTGTCCCAGTATCATTTAACCAATTAATGCCCATTAGCTTTCACAGAGAGATATTTCCTGAGAAGATATAGCAAGCACAGAAGTACAGACGTTTATTTCCCTCAAACACCTGGGATATAATCTTCTGTCTACTGCATTGATCCTTAGGAAGACAGGGCTCCAACTTCAGGCAGTCAGTCAGTCAACTAATAAACATTTAAGTGGCTACTATGTGCCAGGCACTGTGCTAAGCACTGGGGATGCAGAAAGAGGCAAAAGACAGTCCTGCCTTCAGGAAGCTCACAGTCTAATGGGGGAGAAAACAAGCCAACAAACATATAGGACAAATAGGAAAGAATTCAAGGAGGGACATTCCCCCCCCCCCAGAATTAAGAGGGGTTGGGAAAGGCTTCTTGCGGAAGATGGGATTTTAGTTGGGACTTGACGGAAGCCAAGGAAGCCAGCAGGCAGAGATGAGGAGGGAGAGCATCCTAGGCGTAGGGGCTGGCTGGCCAGAGAAATACCTAGAGTGTGGAGACGGAGTATTCGCGTGACAGCAAGGGAGCTAGTGCCATTGGATCAAAGAGTATCAGGGGGTGTAAGAAGACTAGAGGGGAGGAGGCCTGAGGAGAGATCAATGGAAAATCAGGTGGGGCTGGAACCCCGGCAGAGCCACGGAGGGAGTGGGCTGGGGTCCTAACCCTAACCCAAACCCAAATGCGCACATCTGATGGCCTTTGTCCACTTCTAGGGTGGGGACAAATAATGCTGCCTGAAGAAGCCTAGAAGTGTCTCACAGATTGTGACCTGCATTAGAGAAGGAAACCCTTAGGGATCACGGCTGGTGTCTTCCAGAAGAGGGGGTGTAGTGGACAGAGGGCTGGGGCTTGAGTCAGAAAGACATACCCTTAACTTTTCACTGCATCAGACAGCTCTCTAGCAATTGTCTCTTGGCTTGGGTAGAGGGAATTTCCTCTCTGGGTGTTAAGCTAAACCAATCAACTGAGGCTCAACCTTACACTTCCCTTCCACAGATATCTGCTTATATGTCTCAAGGTAAGGAAGGTTGAAGTCCATAGTTCCGCAGGTAGAACAAGATGGCAGGTGGCTCTCTGAGCTCCCTGCCCTTGGAAGAGTTGGTGAGGTACCCACATGTGAAGGAGTTTCTCTGCTACTGACTATCCCTCCACCTGTGCCCCCCCCCAACTGAGTAAACAAAGAGATAAGGGAGCAAAGACCAAAGGCAAATTGGAGGGTTAGTCATTAACACCTCTTTGTCAATGATTACCCAGCCCTCATGCCCAGTGACTCCCTCATGCCCAGTGACTCCTTCATGCCCAGTGACTCCTTCATGCCCAGTGGCTCCCTCGTGCCCAGTGGCTCCCTCGTGCCCAGTGGCTCCCTCGTGCCCAGTGCCTCCCTCGTGTCCAGTGGTTCCCTCTTGTCCAGTGGCTCCCTCTTGTCCAGTGGCTCCCTTATGCCCAACCTTAGACCCCGTTCTCCTCTTGATGACTCCCTTCCTTCTAAATGACCATCCCCAGAAGTGGCCACTTCCAAGAGGGAATATCCCCAGGGCTGACTATGTGAGGGATCACCCCAGGGACTGACCACCCCTAGGAGGGACCACTCCCAGGTAAGGTCAGGAATCAGTATCAAGCCTGTAATTCCCCTCCTCCTATTCTTCCAAGGTAACTTATTTGCCCAGCTCCACCCTCCTATACCTGGGCTCTGCCCAAGATAATGACTCTGCCACTTCCTCCTGGGCCTTCCCCTTTGCCCTTTGGGCCCTGGTGACTCTGCATAGCTCCTTAGAGAATGTGAGAGGACCACCGGGTTCCCTGAAGCGGCAGTGAACGGTGAGGTGGGCGCCATGGTGCAGCTGAAGCTGGTGCCCCAGGCCCTCCTCTCCCTGGTGGGCCTGCTCCGGCTGCTCCAGGTGGTCCTGTGCTGTGTCACCTTCAGCCTGGCTGCCTCGGGCCCCAGGCTGGTCTCCCCATTTGGTGTGTGGTGTCTGTGTTCCTGGTGTATCTGTTTCTTGCTGTCTCTGGTCATTCTGGGGCTAGAGTTCCTGGGTTTGGACTCACAACTGCCCCTGTCCTGGGAGAACTTTACTTCAGTGACAGCCACGCTGGCCACCTTGCTGACCTTCACCGCATCCATCATGTACCCCATCGACTCTGTGCCAAGGAACCCAACGGGCTGGCCCTACCAGGCAGCAGCCACGGCCACGGCTCTGTCCTGTGTGTGCTTTGTGATCTATGCAGTGGAGGTGGGCCTAACCTGGGCCAGGCCAGGGCAGTGCCGGGGCTTCCTGTCCACTGTGCCTGGCTTGCTGAAGGTGTTTGAGGTCTACGTGGCGTATGTGATCCTGGCCCTGGTGGATGTCGACCACATGTATGCCAATAATGCAGGGTGCCAGTGGTGTATGGCTGTATTCTGTTTCTGCTTTGTGGGCACGCTGGTTATCATAGGGATCAGCATAGGGCAGCAGCTGGGCACCTTGCCCTTGCCTGTGGACAAAATACTGGTGGCCCTTACAGGCCTGGCATCAGTGCTCTACCTCTCAGCTGCCATCGTGTGGCCTATCTTCATCTTCAAGGATGCCCTTTCAAATCATCAGCTCAGCTCAGCGGTGGGAGCCACTGTCCTCACCTACATCAACCTGCTGGCCTATACTGCTGACCTCGTCTTCTCCAGCCGCATGGCGTTTTTCATGGAGTCCACATAGCCCTCCTGCTGCCCCTCCCATCTCCCACCCAGGAGAAGCACCAGGATTGGGGTTTGGGCCGGGGAAGTCAGGGAGACCTCCAGTGCTGCCTTCCTACTGGGGAGGTAAGGTCCCAAACTGCTCAATTTGTCCTCCTCCTGCTCTGTTCTAGGGGTGGATAGGAGGGAGGGACTATTGATTGTCTTCTCTGGAGGGGTATTCTTTAAGAGTGGGCACAAGGATTTAGTTAGGATGTCAGGGGTGATGGATCTGTGGGCATGCCATCTGAGCCATCTCCAAGTGATGCCGGACCTAGGTAGGGGGAACAGGGCTAGGGGAAGTTCCCTCCCCCTTCCAGATGACACATAGCAGGGTAGCCTTGAAGGGGAAAAGAAATCTCCAAGGTGGTGGGGGAGGGGTGGGAACTTTACTGGGAAATAAATAGTTGGTGAACCAACCATGTTGGCAGAGAAGCTGCTATTTCTCATTAGATTCTTGGCTGCCCCCCCACAATGGGGCCATGTCTCAAAGCAGATGGGAGCCAGTGAATTCTGAGCATTTTATGGCCCTGGGCTTCCTCCACGTTCGATGTTTCCACAAAGGAGTTGGAGGTACTGTGCAGATAGTGGGTTGGGCCCATTGGAGCCAATGACTCTGGGGAGATACACTTCTTTCCTCTGTCCCAAACTCCCCACCCTAAAGCAGGTCTGGTCAATCTTTGGCCAGGAGGCAATGAAAAGACCCTCTGTGCAGGGGGACACCCCAACTCTGTAAATGTTTGAGGATGGCAGGTTCTAACACAATGGGAGTGGGTGAGAGGGGGTGCTCTGTTCAAAGGGCCACCATGACCAAGGCAGGCCTGACTGAAAACTTTGCAGGGGTCTCTGTGAGCAAGGCTGGGCATTAGATAGACCTGCCAGAGCCAGGTCAAGTCCTTCTACCCTGTGGTGGTGGTGGTGCGGATGAGGGTGAAGAGAGGTCATTGGACAATATTGACAACATCACAGACACTGGTGCCCTGGGAGCTGGAGGCGGCCCATCTGGGTCAAATGTGTCTGAGTCTTAATTCAGACGATGGGGAATGAATGTCCAAACCGGTCTCTAAGGGACCCTGGGAGACCAGACTGTCCTCTGCAACATGAAGGATGTTGTAAGAGCTCCCATAGTGAGCAGAAGTGTCATGGACAGGGCCAAAGGCTTGCCTGAGAGTCAGAAAGACCTGCATTTAAGTCCTGCCTGACTCACCGTGGCCACCACTAAGCTATGGAACTTCATGCCCCAGGCACCTGTTCAGATGAACCAGAGACACTTTGCCAGCCTGAATCAGTGGAGAGAATTTTCCACATAGATGAAAGTGTGGGTTGGACCCACACCCACACTGCCACCTACAATCCACAGTACACCATGGTGGGGAGTGGTACAATCCCCAGAATTCAATCTATTCCATTGGACCAACATTGGTACTGTGCCCGACATGGTGCTAGATGTGTGTGTGTGTGTGTGTGTGTGTGTGTGTGTGTGTGTGTGTGTGT